CCTCATATTTGGTTAAGGAGTGGCTGCTCTATAACTGCAAGCAATTGCATACACATCCACCTTCTGCAGACCGCAATCAAATTGAGCACATTTGGAATTTGCCGGATAAAAGGTTCAGGAAGCACCAAATATCTTCGGAGGAGTATCTTAAACAAGTTATAAAATCTGAGTGGGAGAAAATCACAGAAAACGATATCAAAGTGTTGGTAAATAGTACGCAACGACGTCTTCAAGCAGTCAGTGCAGCGAAAGGAGGTCCAAATTAAAGAGACAGGAGTTAATTTTCTTCTGTTACGTTAAGTAACTTTTAACTTTTTTGACCTAAACCATGAAGTATCTTTATAATTTTATTTTTATTATCCAGTTTTTATACTGATCTGAAAATCTTTTTATGAAAATCTTTTAAATGTATAATCTACCCAATGGTAATTAAAAAAATTTCTGTCTTGGTTTTTAGTAGGTTATTACATGCATTTAGTTGCAGAACTTTAATGTACTTAAACTTTATTTATTATTTATTTTTCTAAAAATGTTCCGATCTTTTCTATGACTTCATACATAGCTGTGAGAGTATTCAGAAGACTAAACGCAAACTTTCATTCAGATAGCTTTAAAACTGAGACTAGTCTGCGTAGAAACGGACAGACGGACATGGTTAGATCGACTCGGCTGTTGATGCTGATCAAGAATGTATATACTTTATAGGGTCAAAAATGTCTCCTTCACTGCATTGCAAACTTCTGACTGAAATTATAATACCCTGCAATGGTATAATAAACTGAAATTAAGCAAAATATTAGACTAAGTAAAAAACAAATTAAATCGGAAGATTTTTCCGACTAATTCCGCAGGATTCCCCGAGGATTTCCGGGAGATTCCCTAGGATTTTATCGAAATTTTACTGACAAAAAAACTAGGTAAATTCAGGAGAATTTTCCTCAGGGAATTCTCGTGATTACTTGGATTTTTTTTGTTTGTTTTTGTGTATTGATGTTGTATTTTTCTTCTTTAATGATTTTCCTATTAATATTAATCTTGCTCAGTTGCAAAGAAAAAATTTAAAAGCAATATTGCTTTTCTAATCAACGGCATCTATTTTAATTCGCTTTACTTTTCTGTTCTCAAAAGAAAAATGTTCGCTTGAAAACATAATAAATTAAATTTTTTTGCAAAGGGAAAACGCTGAGCATGATTTTCCAGATTATAAGCCATGTTGCAGATGCTTTCTTTTTGGTCGTCTTCTGGCAGTCTAATAGCAGTCAACACATATCTTCCGTGTTGTGCAAACTGATTGAAATAGCTAATAAAGTGAGATCTCAAAATTAGGCATATGTTTCATACAATAAAAAGCTCATACGTTTATGACGAATTGGCAATAGTCATTACTGTTTATTTCTTTCATCACTGCAACGGATGACAACGAACTGTCTTATGCCTCAGTTTCAGACTGAAGCTTGGCCACATAAGCTGCCTTGTGGGCGGCAACCTTGGTCTTGCGCTGCTCGTTGGTGAGTTTCTTAGCATTCCACCTCTTCTTCGTAATGCCAGTTGCCTTCTTGGCGGTGACCTTGTGGGTTGGGTCGTTACGAATGGCCTGGTGGGCTTTTTTATAGATATCTTCAAGCTAAAAAAAAATTGTTTAAAGTTAGGTATAAAATATAACATTATTAAATATTTTGGATGTCCAACCATAACAGGAAGCTCATTCCATTAAAGGGAAGAACTTCGAACACAGGTCAGTTAAGTATTACTGTGGTCCCCTTTTGGCACTGCCGCGCTGTGAGCTCAGCACACAGCAGTAATTTTGAAAAGGGACGTTGAAAGTGGAATTTCGGTACTCACATCATCAGCACGGATGCCCAGCTTGATGTAACGGCTGAATTGGCGCTTGAAGCTTTCCTCATCCTCCTCCTCCAGAGTGCGCATATAGTCGGCAACATGCTGACCAAAGATATGAGCTCGATGCACATCGGCATTAAAGCTCTTGGTTTCAGCAGAGTACCCGGGGAAGCGCTTAACGGAATGGGGTATGTTCAATCCACCATCAACAGCTCCTTTCATGGCTCCGAACACGCGAGCACCAGTTGTGGTGCGAGCCAGTCCAACGTCCAAAAAACAACGGAAGGCGCCCGGTCCGTCGTCAACCGGTTCCACATTGAACTCTTCTCCAGTCACCTCAGTACACCCGGCATAGAGAGAGTCTAGGCCTAGCTTGTTGAGGACTCGACGGGCGACCAGAAGCCCAGTGCAGTAGGCGGCAGCGTAGTTGGTCAAACCAACCTTTAACCAAAATAAACAATCAGTCATACTGTTTATTCTTAAAAAACAAAACAAAAAAAACAACGATCTGACTTACCTGGATGCCGAACTTGGGCAGCTCATGAGAATAAGCGGCGCAAACAACGCGATCTCCTTCAATGCGAGCATAAGCGATCTGCACGGTTATATCCTTGTTGGACAGGCGCACAATCAAACGGTACTTCGGAGTGTTGTACTTGTTCTTATCCTGGAAAGTCAAACGCTTCCTGGCATAGTAATCGGTCTTGCCTTCACGGCGCCTGCGAAACTTCACCTGGTAACGCTTGAAGTACTGCTTGTTCTTGACTACCTTAACGAAACCCTGCAATAAAATAAATATCAGTTTAGAACTTAATGTGACTGATATATATACATATACATATATATAAATTTATAACATTTTAATATATTCTTTCATTGAGTTGACGCTTCCAGTTTTTTGGCAGAAAATGTCTCACCATTTATGTTATAAATTTAATAAATATGTAAAAAAAAAATATTTTTTCAACTGAATCCACGTGTGTTCACGTTCCGGAAACGAAACGAAAAGAAGTGTGCACGCATACAGTAAAGCCAAATAATACCAAGGCATTAAAATTCGCAGTTACATATTATTATTTATTACTGAATCTTTTTTTCCGCTTTTTTTTCTATTACCATTAACAATTCATAACATTTATTAAAGTGCCTAATTGCTCACCATTTTTCACTTTTAATGAAAATTTACACCGCGTGCGATGCTTCCACTAAAAAAGAAAGGAAAGAAAGAACGAGACGAAAAAAGTGTGCACAAAGGCAGCCTAACCAATTAATACTAAAGCAGAGTAAAAATTGTGACTAAATAAAGTCCTAATACCTTATTCCCACAGACAACCATTTAATACCTAAACCATAGTACTGAGACGACGAAAATTCCCTGTAACAATTGTCATAACGGACAAACTGCATATATAAAACAATTTTGTTCCCACAAGGAGAAAGTGGTTTTGATAAGTGCGGTCAATGCGAAGCCCATAACATGGGATTTAACCCGCAAAATTATAAAATTTGCTTACAAACAGCTGTTCAGTATTACACATTTCATGGCGTTTCAAGGCTTTTCCATAATTTTTTTGGTCATACTGGTCATACTATTGTGACTTTAGCGCATTAATTATGGCTCTATAACACTCTAATGCAGTTTTTATTAATCAGCTAATTCATTAGGACCTTGAAAGGGACTACTATATGTGTTATTTTTATTTGATTATTTGGGTCACACGACTCCGGTCACACCGATCGAAAAAGGTAAACAAAAAAAACGGCCGCCATTCGTGACGTATTACTATGAATTTCTGAATTCCTCGTCGAAGATTCACGCATAAATAAATAACAAAATACGGTTTTAATGAAGAAAATTGTAATTGAAAAGTGTATTATACTGTCTTCCCACACGGCGCATTTGTGAGAAACGGTTGGGATTAAAAAAGGTGAAGATCGTGTTCCCACAGAGCTGCGTTGAAGTGCATCCGCATCCGAACAGCTGATCGATCAGCTGTGGCTCATGAAAACGTAAACAATGATGGGTGAAGCGACCGATGTGAGAGTAAAATAAATAGTTTATAAACTATTTCGGGTGTTTAACAACAGCAAAACAACAGATTGCGTCAGAATTTATCCGCACTAAATTTAAATGAATTAGATGACAAGGAATTTTAGTTTCTCTAGTGACTATTATTTATTTTGGGCATGTTTGTAGCTTCGGCGCCGCATTTTAAATTTCATTTTTCAATTGTTCCTCACCAACTTTGTTTACATTTTTCGTAGGTTTGGTCAAATTTGCACTGTTAATAAGAAGAAATCAGAGTTGCACTGAAAAACTATCGCCTAACTATCGCCCAACAAACCATGGTTACATGTAGATGCGTTCTAACTGCGGTCCATATGAGAAAATTCGGAACGGCAAAACCTTATGGGCAGTTAGTTCAACGGACGGTGGATGTGCTTTGACGGTGTGTGCGAAGACCCTAATAGCGGCCGAAAAAAGGAAGACGAAGAACTCTTTTTCTCGTCGTTTTTGTGGGTACTGTGACGACGAAAATGATATCTGGCGTTGCCAGATCAAGAGAGTAAACAGCTGATATCGTGCTATCACAATAATTCATTTCATTTATTCTTACAGGCCTAATGGAGGAAAAGTTGCAGGAAATAATCAATTGTAATACCGAAAATGTTGTACTTATGTTGTGCGGTCAAGACGAAGCCCATAATATGGGATTTGACCCACAAGGGGCATTTTAATGCCATTTATACTAAAGAATGTGTTTACAAACAGCTGTACAGTGTGACCAAAGAAGTTAAGGAGAAGAGTTTTTTTCATGGAGTTTCATGACCTCTCTTTAATTTCTTTGGTCACACTGGTTACCGAGCAAAATATATATCGATTGCAAGTTATTTAAATTAATTTATGGTAATAATGATCAAATTTGTGTTCATCAGAGGGTAAAAAATGTGCTAATTAATGAAAACTGCATTCCTTTGTCATACTGTAATAAATGAAAGCTCACGTAGCGCGCCATTCTCATGGTGCGAAAAATGTGAATGTTGCAGTGGAATCACATGACTTCAATATGTGATACATATGGTATATTTTTTAAGTCGAAATGGTGTAAAACGTGTATTTTTGAAGCGCCCTTCTCTTATGACTTATCGATATTTCCTCGATCTCACCTCTGGAAATTAAGCGTGCGCTAATACACAGTAATACGGGATCCAAAATGGATTCTATGTTTGTTTTAGACAGAACTGGCCAACGGCAATCCAGTTTGCCAACAGTAGTTTACAAAACCAATAGATTCCTGCTTCAAGAAGAGAGTGATGAAATTAGAGGTACTGACGATGCGGAGGACGAAGTAAAACTCTTTGGACTCAAGCTAGACCGCAATAAAGTCGACATTTCTGTCAGTTCTTCGTTAGCTGCCCCGAGGAAATTTTCATCTGAAATGACTGAAAGCCTGGATAAGGTTGCTGAAAAAGTAACAGATGCCGCTGAAAATTCCCGCATTGAAAAACGGCCAAAGCGAAAGCGAGTAACAGAGCTTGATAACAGTAGTGGTCTATCCATGAGCATGCGCCAGGATAATGTGGAAATGAATATGCAAAGATCAAGGCGGACTTTGGATCCAGGTCTGGATCAACGCAGTGCACTTCCTACAGTGAGCAAAAGGTTGCAACCAGTTTTAAACAGAGTAAGTAAATCAGGATTATAAGATAAGATTATTAGATAAGAAAAGAATTTGTGCAAGACCATGATGATATTTTCGACATCAGAAGTTGCCCAAAATGGCAGAACGTGCAATGCTTAAGCCTGCTGGAGGTATCTCTTGTAAAATGACTCAAGAAATGGACTAGCTTATTTAGTTTCGTTCGCTGTAATCTTTGCTGCTGCATTAGAGAAGTTTGCAGTAGCAGTAAAGCCAGCGGAAAACTACAAGCCATGAAGCAAGACTAGTGTCAGTCGTAAAATCTAAGACAGACTCCTTAAACTCGGGCTTACAAAACTTTTACATACATATGTATATAATGAAACCATAAAGCTAAAGTCGACAAGAGCAGGAGGTGCTTAGGCCTAAGCTGCATGTTTTATTTGATGACGTCTTTAGTAATCTGATAGTATGATGTTGCCCTTTAGTTAAGAAATCTTGTTTGTAACTTAGACAATTTTTATATTTTGAAACTTTTTAAATTTTTCAGTTGGAACGCAAAAAAAACATGGGTTCAGGTTGGTTTAATCTGCCGGCCACAGAAATCGACGAGGAAATAAACAACGAGCTAAAAATAATTCAGATGCGATCGGTTTTGAATCCAAAACAATTTTACAAAAAAAATGATTTAAAAGTAATTCCAAAATACTTTCAAATCGGAGTCGTGGAACATTCAGCTTTGGATTATTACAAGGAGAAAAACACCAGAAATACCAAAAAATCGCTTGTTGACGAATTGCTCCAGGATGAGGACTTCCAGAAATTTAACAAGCGAAGATATAACATGGCACTTCAATGCAATGCCAAGTATAATCACCGAAAAAACATTAAAAAAATGAAAAAAATAAAAAATAAATAAATTTTATTTTAATGGTTATATACATAGCTGAAACAAAAAGGTTGACGTTTTTATCAAATTGTTTAGTAGAGAGAACCACGATATATTCTTAGAAGGGTGTTATACATATTCTCATGCGGATAAAAAAATAGGTGTGAAATTTGTTTATTTTTTAACTTCTTATTTTTAACTAAATTTGTATTAATCTCAACAAAAAAGTTAATTCGAAAAATATATTGTCTTAAAAAACTGCTTGATAAATATTAAATATACATCTAATTTGACTGCACAAAATAAGGTTAATTTTTAAATTGAGTCGATATTTCACTATTTTTAGCCTAGGCTTTGATTAAACAGAGTATGTGGCAGTTTATTTCTCAAATATCTGGCAGTATTTTCCTTATTATTGGCTTAAAGGTTACGACTGACAAGTTTTAATTGGAACATTTAAGCAAAATATCCAAAAACGACTTTTTTATTTTCACAAAAAGTTTATCCTACCTCTGTTTTGAGTTCACCTTAAAGATCTTTCATGGGGTTGAGGCCCATTTATTTTTATACCTTGCAGGGTATTATAATTTCAGTCAGAAGTTTGCAACGCAGTGAAGGAGACCTTTCCGACCCTATTAAGTATGTACATATATTCTTGATCAGCATCAATAGCCGAGTCGATCTAGCCATGTCCGTCAGCCCGTCTGTCCGTTTCTACGCAAACTAGTCCCTCAGTTTTAAAGCTATCTGAATGAAACTTTGCATATAGTCTTCTTTATACTTTCACTGCTATATATGTCGGAACGGGCCGGATCGGACGACTATATCATATAGCTGCCATACAAATGTTTGATAAATTTTTAGAAAAAAAATATAACTTGACTGTTTTTCAAAATTTTTGCATCATTTTTGGGATATGGCCATTTTATATTTTTCCAGAATTTTAATAAAAATTTTATGAAAATCGGACGACTATATCATATAGCTGCCATAGGAACGGTCGGGAAATTAATAGGAAAAAAATTATATTTTCGTTGTTTTTCAACCTATTTTCATCTACTTTGAGATATAAGCTTCTGTTATTATTTCAAAATTTTGGTATAAATATTTGGAAAATCGGACAATTATATCATATAGCTGCAATAGACGCGATCGGTAAATGTAGAGAAAATGTAATGCTTGGAATGTTAAACTGTAACTGTCAAACTGTAAACATAATCAGTATACATAGGTGAAATATAATGAAACTATTATTTGTGTGTGTCTTCAGCATTAGAATTTATAATATTAATATCAAAACCAATCTTTAAGGGTATACAAACTTCGGCGTGGCGAAGTTAGCTTCCTTTCTTGTTTTATTATGAATATGGAATATCTTAGTTTTAAAAAAATCATTGAAAAATTGACGATATTATGGGTAGTTGAACGAAAGTCGTTTGGTGTTCCGTGTGTGTTTATATGTACATACATATGTACATACATATGTATTCCATGGTTTTCAATCGAAAACTTCAAAGCGCTCTTCTTTGAAACTAAAAATCTACTGGAAGTCGGTTTTAAAATTTAGTCCATAACTTTTCTTATTTTACATGTGCTGGACATCAGGTACTTGGACCAGATATCGGATGATTCTGTGAATAGTTAGGATGTATGTACATATACCGCCATCAAATTTGTTTAAAAATTTGAATACTGAAAACACACAAAAACAGAGTTTCAATATATTTTACATTTGATAGTTACAGTTTTACATTTAATGCTTTACATTTTCTCTACATCTACCGTTCCTTTCTATGGCAGCTATGTATCTATATGATATAGTTTTCCGGTTGTCATAAAATGTATACCAAAATTCTTTAATAATAAAAGAGCTCATATCTTAGAGTAGATGAAAATACGTTGAAAAAACAACTTAGTTATAATTTTTTTCTCATAAGTTCTCGATTGTTCATATGGCAGATATAAGATATACAGGCCTTCTCCGGTAATCGTAAAATTTTTTTGATTTCGTTTTGGGCGAAAACGAACCGTTTTCGTTTTTAGCTGCTCCGGTTTTCGAAAAATTTCTGCTTTCGGAATGTTTCGCTTTCTCATCGTTTCTCACTGCTCAAGCAGCTAACTTGTGTTTTTGGTAATAAGCAAACAACGTAAAGTACTGCCTTTTATATTTGCAATTGCCCTTTTTCTAAGCCAGAAAAAGGCAAAAAATGCTAGAGTTAAGCAAATCTAGACACCTAAGATGCTGCCACACTTTTCACAGCTTTAATTCCGGTGGTCTCAAATAATTATTTGGTTAATTTGGACCATTTAAGTAATCACATTAAATAGCATTAATTATAAACAACCCTTTTGGCGCTCCTTTAAAGTTATTAATGTATTCATTTATATTTTATAAGTATTTTTAACTGGCTGTTTCGTTCCACCAACAATATGGCAACCTTGGCGATAACTTTTTCCGGTGAACTTATCGACCTATCGCCAAACCGAGAAAACTGGTTGAATACGGCAAAAATTTTGTTGTCAAATCTGAGGTGGGATCAGAAATAAATTTTTTATAAAATAACTACCTGCCAGAATGATCTTATGGTGGTGTGGAATAAACATCAATAGTAAACTATTTTTTCCGTTTTGTAAATAAGATCTGATTCATATAAAAAAAAGCCATTTATACTGTCTTCCCACACAGCACATTTGTGAGGAACGTTTGGGATTTTTCACAAATGTGAAACTCGTGTTCCCACACAACATTAAAGCGCATTTAGCATCCGAACAGCTGATCGATCAGCTGTGGCTCATGAAAACGTAAACAAAGGCTGTCGAATTGGCAGTTGCAAATTTGAAATGGAGCATTTACCAACTATTTTGGCTATTGTACAACAGCAAATGGCACAGATTGCGTCAGAATTTATCCGCAATAAATTTAAATGAATTAAATGACAAGGAATTTTAGTTTTTCTAATGATTTTTCTCTAACAAAGAGCAAATTCCCCGAAGAGTGTCTATAGGTGGTATAGGCATCCAAAATCTTTAAAATAAGGTAGGGGTAGGCGGTTTATATTAAATAGTAACAATTGGGGACATATTGTGGCAAGAATATACAGAAAAAACGTCAACATCTATTTTGGACAAGCTTGTAGCGCCAAAGCTACGTTTTAAATTCCATATCTCATTTGTTTCTCGCCAAGTGTGTATACACTTTCGTTGCACCGAAGAACTATCGCCTAACTATCGCCAAACAAACCGTGGTTAAGCCTAGTACTCTGACGAGAAAAATCCGCTGTATAAATTTAGACAGCGCGCTGCAGCGGCCAAACTCCATATAAAAAAAACGGTGTTGAAAAAAGAAGAAGAAGAACTTTTAGCCACGTCGTTTTTTCCGGTACTCTGACGACGAAAATGAAGCCTGCGAAAGTTGAATAGCGTTGCCAGATCAAGATAGTAAACAGCTGATATCGCGCTGTCTAAATAATTCATTTGATATATTAGACATGATAGACACCCCTAATGGAGGGAAAGTTGAAGGGAACAGGTGTGCATTGTTAGGGGCTGTCAAGGGGAAGCCCATAATATGGAATTTAACCCACAAAGGACATTTTAATGCCATATTTATTAATATTTTTAATATTTTTTTGAATATTTGTTTACAAACAGCTGTCCAGTGTAACCAAAGAAAATCCTTAAACGCCATAAAAAGTACATTTTCGTGGCGTTTCAGGATTTTCCTTAATTTTTTTTGGTCACACTAGCTCGGTAGCGAAATAAACAGCGATTCCGCTGTCTAATTTAGACAGCGGGTTTTTCTCGTCAGAGTACTAGGCTTTAGATTTTAATGCTGAACTAACGCCGGCCCATTTGGGAAAATTCGGAACGGCAAAACCTTATGGAGCATTTGTTCAACGGATGCTAAATGCGCTTTAATGTTGTGTGGGAAGACCCTATTACTTTTCATTCCGGCCAGAAAAAGGTGCCCGTTTTTCAAATCGAAAAAATCTTTCGTTTTCGATTACCCGAGCACCAATTTCTTGTTTTCAAAAACGAAAACGAAAAAATCGTCCCGTTTTCGATTACCGGATAGCTTTAAAGCTGAGGGACTAGTTTGCGTAGTAGACGGACATGGCTAGATCGACTCGGCTATTGATGCTGATAAAAAATATATATAATTTATAGGGTCGGCAATGTCTTCTTCACTGCGTCGCAAACTTCTGACTGAAATTATAAGGGTATAAAAAGAAAAGGCAAGCTTACATCGGCTCGCAAAAGTTCATATACATATATAAATTAAGAGTTTTTGTTTTATATATTTTCGTAATAGTATTTATCTCTAAAGCTCGCCCTAATACTTCTAAGCTCAGATCTTACGACTGCATTTTATATTTTGTAAACGTAATGCTGGGTAATTGTGTTAACTCCCCAGTCGGACTTTTCGGGAGGACGCGAACAGGGGAGGATAAAATTCTTGTGAAAATGGGAGGGCTTTTTTCGAACGAAAATTCCCTTTGAGGATTTTTATTTTTAATGCGAGAGAGAGAGAGAGAGAGATAAAGGGATACATATATTTTTGCTCTTTCCTTTTATTTTCTAAATTTTTATACTCTCTGGGGAGGAAGAAATTCTGGCCTTTTGAAGAATTTCTTCCTCACCCGAGCAGCGACGGATTCTTCGTACATCCAATTTTTTATACTCTCTTGGGAGGGGAAATTCCGTAAACGATCAGATTTTTATACGCTCTGGGGAGGAAGAAATTCTTCAAAAGGCCAGAATTTCTTCCTCACCCGAACATCGTTGATTCTCCTTGTCGTAGGTTGGTAAGGTCCCAAAAATGGCCGCTGCGAAATTACATATGTGGAACCCATCCTTATCGTAGTTTTGTTTACGATGATGAGGCTTGTGTCGGCTTAACTGGTCTTATAATTCTTATAATTCAGTTGCGATATCACAAAAAAATTCCTTTGATGTATGCTGGTGGCAGAAATTATACAGTGCAGCGCTACTAATCCTCAAACGCACATGTGCTTGCCGTATTCTTATGTTCCTAACAATTAATACATTAACAGATTTTGATTACGTCTTATACTATTTATGAGGTAGTTACAGTTTTTACGCTAAAGTTTGAACAATATTAATATTAAATTCCTTTGATGTATGCTGGTGGCAGAAATTATACAGTGCAGCGCTACAAATCCTCAAACGCACATGTGCTTGCCGTATTCTTATGTTCCTAACAATTAATACATTAACAGATTTTGATTACGTCTTATACTATTTGTGAGGTAGTTACAGTTTTTACGCTAAAGTTTGAACAATATTAATATATTAAATAATTTCAAAGTGTTTTATATTGCATTCAATATGGTGGTCCTAGTAAAACGCTAATTGATTGAAAATATTGATTTAGTTTTTTAGTTTAGCAGCATCAAAAAGGCTTTGAATAACATTATAGGGTCTTCCCACACACCGTCAAAGCGCATTCACCGTCCGTTGAACAAACGGTCCATAAGGTTTTGCTGTTCCGAATTTTCCCAAATGGACCGCTGTTAGAACACATTAAAATCTAACCACCGTTTGTTTGGCGATAGTTAGGCGATAGTTTTTCGGTGCAACTCTGAAAATTTGACCATCACTACGAAAGTGTATACACACTTGGCGAGGAACGAATGAGACATGGAATTTAAAATGTGGCGCCAAAGCTACAAGCATGTCCAAAATAGTTGTTTTTTCTGTATATTCTTGCCCCAATATGTCTCCAATTATTACTATTTAATATAAGCTGCCTACCTCTAGTTTATTTTAAAGATTTTGGATGCCTATACAACCTATAGACACTCTTTGGGGAATTTGCTCTTTGTTAGAGAAAAATCAATAGAGAAACTAAAATTCCTTGTCATTTAATTCATTTAAATTTAGTGCGGATAAATTCTGACGCAATCTGTTGTTTTGCTGTTGTTAATGCAGTCTTCCCACACAGCGCATCTGTGAGGAACGGTTGGGATTTTTCGCAGATGCGAAACTCGTGTTCCGACAGAGCTGCATCAAAGTGCATCTGCATCCGAACAGCTGATCGATCAGCTGTGGCTCATGAAAACGTAAACAAAGGCTGTCGAATTGGCAGTTGCAAATTTGTAATAGAACATTTAACAACTATTTTGGCTGTTGTACAACATCAAAAGCAAAGATTCCATCAAATTTTATCCACACTAACTTAAAGCCTAGTACTCTGACGAGAAAAACCCGCTGTCTAAATTAGACAGCGGAATCGCTGTTTATTTCGCTACCGAGCTAGTGTGACCAAAAAAAATTAAGGAAACTCCTGAAATTCCATGAAAATGTACTTTTTATGGCGTTTAAGGATTTTCCTTGGTCACACTGGACAGCTGTTTGTAAACAAATATTCAAAAAAAATATTAAAAATATTAATAAATATGGCATTAAAATGTCCTTTGTGGGTTAAATTCCATATTATGGGCTTCCCCTTGACAGCCCCTATCAATGCCACCTTTTTCCTTCAACTTTCCCTCCATTAGGGGTGTCTAAATAAATCAAATGAATTATTTAGACAGCGCGATATCAGCTGTTTACTATCTTGATCTGGCAACGCCATTCAATTTTCGCAGGCTTCATTTTCGTCGTCAGAGTACCGAAAAAAACGACGTGTCTAAAAGTTCTTCCTCTTTTTTTTCGACACCGTTTTTTTTATATGGAGTTTGGCCGCTGTCTAAATTTATACAGCGGATTTTTCTCGTCAGAGTACTAGGCTTAAAATGAATTAGATATGAGGAATTTGAGTTTCTCTAATGATTTTTCTCTAACAAAGAGCAAATTCCCCGATGAGTGTGTATAGGTGGTATAGGCTTCCCAAATCTATAATTAAAGAAGAAGTAGGCGTTTTATATTAAATAGATAAATAAAAAAACGCCAACAACTGTTTTGTGCATGCTTGTAGCTTTGGCGCTACATATTAAATTCCATATTTCATTTGTTTCTCACCAAGTGTGTATACACTTTCGTAGTGTTGGTCAAATTTGCACTGTTAAGAAGAAGAAATCAGAGTTGCACTGAAAAACAAACCGTGGTTAGATTTAGATGCGTTCTAACCGCGGTCTATTTGAGAAAATTCGGAACGGCAAAACCTTATGGACCGTTTGTTCAACGGACGGTAGATGCGCTTTGACGCTCTGTGGGAAGACCCTGTTAGTCATTTTAATTTAGTGCGGATAAAATCTGACGCAATCTGTGGTTTTGCTGGTGTTAAACAGCGGAAATAGTTGATAAACTATTCATTTTACTCCCACATCGGCCGCTCCAGCCATCTTTGTTTACGTTTTCATGAGCCACAGCTGATCGATCAGCTGTTATAGGATGCGTATGCACTTTAACGCAGCTCTCCGGGAAGACAGTATAACTAAAAGTATCGGTGATGTACGCGATAGTTAGCCGATGTTTTCACCTGTAAAGTGAACGACCCAAAAAGTGAGCTGCTAAATGTTTAACCAAATCTCAGTCATAACACAAGGATATACATTTTGTATTATCCTATATAATCTTTAATAATTTTGAACTACTGTACATTTGATTTATACGAACTCTTTAGCTCGGAGTCGCTAAGCTCGCTAAATGACTAAAGATATCGTATTAGCGTTTGTATGGGAACAGCTTTTTTCAGTTGGCGATATTTTCAGTCGCCAAGGGAATACCCTGACTATAATATTAAAATTGTTATGCTGTGTAATACGTTTCAGTGATGACCTAAGCGGTCTCTACACTATTAATGCACAGTCGCCCTTATTTCGTATACGCGTATTTTTTTTCAGTTAAAAAAAAAAAAAATGTTATAAAAAATATCTACAATGTCCTAGCAAACCATGCAATATTCATACATATGTACATCATAAATTTTTTTTAAACTCTCAAATTGTTTCATCGTGCGGAGTACGCCAGTCGGTTGTGAAGAGTTGGAAAGCTGAAAACAATTAAATCGAAGACAAACGAAAATAAGGAAAATTAAACCAGTTGCCCAGTTGAGAAACCTATTAAGGTTGCAAAATATCCACATATACATAATTCAAGGTAAGTGCTAAATTCCATTACGACTTCAAACGGTCGTAATCCAGAAAAAAATATTTGGGGTTCGTGATATACATATGTATGTACTTACATATGTGTGTGTGTACGTATATACATACATACATTGATTGGTTCCGTTCTCCGTTCTTAATTTGACGTACATACGTAAAAGCAAACGTCAGCTAATTTTAATTAAGTTTAAAAGCCGTCGGGGTAAGCAGCTCTCAGCTTTGGCCTCTATTTTGCACCCAACTTTGTCATTCTGTTAATTTGACAGGGAGTTGGTTGTGACCCAACGCACATACCATGTACAAACATATGTATGTATGTATGTATATTTATGTATGAATGTTGTAAACATGTAAATTGGTTACAGTTCATATTAGTATGTATACATATCTATATCGTGGAAGACTATAGTCAAAGATGTAGACTTTTAGAAGTTTTCCGTACGTATGTACACATGTACATATGTATGTATGTATGTATGTACATATGTATTCTGCAGTACTGGCATCATACCTTTCTCAATTATTTGAAAAAGTCTATTTTTATAAGAACACCGAATTATTTCTGCAGCTAAACAACATACCATTGTGTTTTCTATAAGCACTCTCTGGGGATATTAGCTACATATTAACTCTTAAAATCACTTGGTTTTCAAGCATTGATTTTACATTCTCTAAAAAATAGTAACTTTCAAATTCTCATTTATTCTCGCTGAATTGCTAAAATCAGCAGTAATGGTCTTGGTGAGCAACGAATGGCTGAACAATAAGGATGACGGAAGCCAGAAGCCAAACCCAGCATCGCCCACAACATCACCAGCACCATCACAAAGTGCAGCAGCTTTAAGCAACAGGGTCAATGCTGGATCGCTAGCCGGAGGAGAAACAACAGCATCGACGACTGTAAAGCGGAAGAAATCCCAGCAGAACAATACTAACATGGATACTATGAAGAAACTAGAGCCGGACCAGCTCTTTCAACTGATGGAGCGAGAAAAACACGAGCTGGAGTCGGAGGACGCTATCAACAACGAGGAGGAGGAAGCTATGCTAGAAAACCAAGAAAACAACAACATACAACTTTGCTGCGATTCCAACACAAGCACATTGCAGAGTGCTAGCTGTCCCGATCGCCGGACTACATCGCCTCAGCAGATGCTACATATGGCTATGAACTCTGTACTGAACGCCAACAATGCAAACAGTGTTGGGGTAGGAGTACCTTCAACGGCAAGTCTGTTCAATTCGCTGAGTGCACTCCGTGAACCGCCGGCAGCACAAGACTGCGGTACTTTGCTAATAGCGCCTGGGCCAGCAAACACCGACTTGGAGGCGTCTACCGGTACAGGTGAAGCAAAAATCGTACTGCATTGTGAGGCTAAGTCACACAAGTTCGAGACCCGATCGATACTTCTACAGCCGAACCAGGAGTGCAAGGTGGGCCGTCTTATTGCCAAGAGTAAGGCGAGCGAGAACAATGCGATTTTTGATTGCAAGGTCTTGTCTAGAAACCATGCAATGCTCTGGTATACGGCGGATGGACGTTTCTGGGTCAAAGACACCAAATCGAGTAACGGAACTTTTATTAATGACAACAAGCTAGGCAATGATCCAGCTGAGTTGCATTATGGCGATAGCGTCAAGTTTGGCGTTGAGGTGATAGAAAATTCGCGACAGGAAGTGCACGGCTGCATTATTGCCCGTGTCACATTGTTTTTACCTGATGGCCGTGAAGCCATTTCGATTGAATCTGAGCAGATGCTGTTGTTGACGGGGCCCAATCGCATCAGCTTTGACGAAATCCAGCGCCTAAATTCTTTCCTTCAAGAAGCGGCGCAGCGGGAAAAGACACTGAAGGCAAAGCTAAGTAGCTTGCAGGGGGTTCTCGATTCGACGCGGAAGAACTCTGCCATGTGTTGGCAAAGCATGATAACTGAGGATCAGTTAATACACAAGATAAATCTTTTGGAAAAAAAATTACAGATGATGGAAAAAAACGTCCCGGAGAATACATTACGAAATGAGGTATGTATGCGATTTTTTAATGCAACAAGAGTTGTTGTTTTTATGATTCTTATCTTTTTTGAGCAGATTGTTAAGATGCTCGAGGACAAGACCACATACCAGTTGACTGCCAAAGAGGCCTTGCGCAAAGTCTATCAAGAGCGCTGTGATGCCATGCAAATGTATTCAAAAATGGAGATGGCCTATGCCACCACAGAGAATGAGTGCGGAATATTGCGCGCTCAAATTGTCACTTCGAAGCAGGCATTGCAGGACTATGATGCCCGGATAGAAGCGCTTCAGAAAGAGTTCGTCGAGTATAAGCAGGAGTCCCTGCGTCAGCAGAAAGAGGCTAAAGATCAAGAGGAGCATAATTTGGGGGAGTTAAAGGAGCAGTTGGTCACACAGGACCGTGAAATGGATGAACTGCGTCTGCAGGTCTCACATCTTCAACGGACTATTGCCGAGCATGACAGCGAACAGAAGTTACTGGAGCAGAATGTCTTGGAACAATTGGACTCCGTTATACCCGACGATGATGATGAACGTAACGACGATGAAGACGATAATGACGATAACCATGCCACCAGTTCCGAAGAAAATTCTGATGTGCCGGAGAAGGACGGATGTATTAAGTGGACAGATAAACTGAAAAAGGTGAAGTTAAAAGTAGTAATTACGTTGAAAGTCTTTGATTTAAATCGATTTACATTTTTCATTTTAGGGCAAGAAGTCCAAACTAAACGAAGTCGACCTGAAAAACAAAGTAATTCGAAAGTCTAGCGTATTGAAGTTGCTAAAGAATTCCGATCTCAACAAGGGAGAAGGCGGCTCCGCATTGCTGAGAGCCATATTTAATGATAACGATGATGATGACTCCCAGTCTTCGTTTGTACCAGCTGAGCTTAGTGCAGGCATTAAGCGAGATGCAGCTGATGAAACCGCCAGCGATGAGTTTATTCATAACTCGCCCAAGCACATGCAGCTTAATGGCACCAATGAAACGTCGGAAATTGAGCTTTCTGAGGTTCATAAGTTACAGAGCCAAGAAACTATTGTGTGCCACGAAAAGGAAGATAATTTTCTGCCGGATTTGCCCACACACCAAGCCATCGAAATGTTACAGGTGGAATGTGATATGTACAAGGAAAAGACCGCTCGCCTAACTGGCGATATTCACTCTATGCAAGAACAGATCGAACAGCTAAAGAACCAGCTTGAATTGGAGATTGAGTGCAACGCCAAACTTCGGTCCCTCGAAGATCAATCTGAAAAACTAATCGAAAAACAGCAGCGGATGTCATCGGGCCAGGACGGCACGGAAGAAACTTGGAATGACGACATCGCAACTATGAACAGTTTGCAGATGGAGCGTGAGGAGGAACTTATTGTTTACAAGGAAAGATTGGAACAGTTGGAGATAAGCAACATGCAACTTCGCACTGAAATATCGAACCTTCGCCTTAACCAGCAGCAGCACTTGCAAACTGGCAACAAACAAATTCTACTTCAACGAGTCCTGCCCATAGGCTGTGTAGTTTTTGCTGCCCTTCTTTGCTACTTTATCTCCAATCGTATTTAAGTAGTTAAAACTAAAGACTATCAAACCTACACTAAATGATATGGGAAACAATGGGAGTTTGAGCTGTTGGAGCCACTTGCTTCTTGTAGTTTTCATGAGGAGGTGCAAATGTGGATAGTTGGGAGCATTTGCAAACATAATAATATAATTTTTGCTTACTTTTTGTTCAAGAATCCTTTCAGCGCAAAATTAAGAGTCGTAAATTCGAATATAAGCGAATAATAAACAAATAATCGAAGAACTCATCTAAATTTAAATCGAACTTTATTTTAGTTATTTTCAAAACTGGAGCATTTAAAGTCGTTCCAAGAGGAAGGCATGATTTAAGCTAGTATTAGGTTTAGTTACGACATTGTTTAACCCTAACCCTTGTTTAATATGCTAGACGTTGCATTATGTATTTATGTATTTCTTAGCCTATTTGTATTATCATGTCTGTATGTACGAAACTGAAACAATAAATTTAGCTAACGCTTGCGTAAAAAATTTAATGGAAACAAAATAATCGAAACAACAAAATATTTTTTTTTACTCAGAGTGAATACCCTTAAACAAGAAAAGGACCGGAACCCATCCAGATACATTGTCACGCTTTCTTTGGATTGGCGAAATAACAACATATTCCTGAGAGTCTATTGCAAAAAAGCGAAAAAAATTATTACGGCGAAACGGGTTATGTTAGCTTAATGAATTTAATACTATATAATAACAACGTTTGAACAATTTTTGATAAATGTAGTATTAAAAAATATTGGTTTCGTTTGCGGTGTACATCCTAACTGTCCGCAGAATCATCCGATCTAAAAAAATTATACCTCATTCGTTAAAGGATAAGTGTCCCGAGGTATTCACGAAGCGCTTTTATTAAAAAATTTTTTTTTTCCGATTAAAAAAAAAATGTGAAGTTAAAAATGCGATTTTTGAGTACAAATTTAAGTTAATTTGTCGAATAAAAAAAAAATAAAATAAAATTTAAAAAAGCTAGACGTGAGTACCTGTAGAATTACCTAAACAAGGTGTGTTCAAACCGATTGGTTGAGTAGATTTTGAGTTCTTGTGTACACCGATTTTCAAAATTGCATTTTTCAGGAGAGCGCTTTAAACTTTGCGATGTTCATGCATTAAACACCGACCGACCTTCGTTCAACTCTGCATAATTTCGTCGATTTTCCTATGGTCGATGTAAAACTTGGACACAATATTCTTAAGATTAGCATTCGTAATTGCAGACTGGAGGTCACAGTCGATTTTAAAAATATGCCCCTCCAGAAATATGAGTTCAAAAATTAGAAACGATCGCGAAGATCAGACAATTGGGTAAGAACCAAGTCCTTCTACAGCTTTAAATGAAATACAATAATCACTCATAGTTGAGGCTATGAGTGCTGCAGCTATAAGACAAACGGAGCTTAAAACTCGAGCCATGAATGTAAGTTTTCAAAGTCTTTAAAAAGCACTTCCGCAAAGAGAAGATTCTCGAACCGGAAGCATTCTGGCCTCAAACGCAAGGGGAAGTAATCTTGTGACCACGTTAAACTCCGTACCATCGGGTTTGTCTTCCAGGACTTCAGACTTAAGACCAGATTGTGTAAGTCAAATTATAAGTCAATGGAACCTAAAGTTTTCAGGAAAGTCAGCTTTGAGTATGGATGGTTTCTTACATCGGGTAGATCCGCTTACACGGAAAACGCTAGGCGGAGACCTTAAGGGGGGACATCTGAGTAACTTTTTTTAAAAATCGAACAATTTTTTTTTTGCTTCAAAAATTCTTTAGGGTCTTAAAAATAACATACTAAAAGATAGAGTCCGGCAAATGTGTCTAAGTGTCGAAATTTTCCATTCTGCGGCGATGCCTCTCATGTAAATATATACGATTTTAAAACTTTAAACGCGTTTTTCTCAAAACCACTTTTTTTGAGTTGGCCGGAAACCTAACTCGAACAAATCATAACCGATCGATCTGAAATTTTGACAGTATATTCCAAATACCTATGGCTATCGACACACGTAGGATTTTTTTTTTTTTGCTTACTTTTTTTTTATCAACAATTTTGTGACTTTTTTTTTCATGAAAATTGAACATTTTATTTAATCACTCACCATTTTGCTAAAAATCAAAATATCGAAAAAATCCTACGTGTGTCGATAGCGGTTGAGATACAGAAACTAACAAAATTTAATTGTTCTAGATTAAAAATTACGGACGTTAGGTTTGCGGCCATGGACCCCTTTCAAAAAAATAGGGCCTACGAAGAAATGCTGCACAGCCGCCATTTTGTTTTCGATCAATTAAAAAAAAAATTAATTTTGTAGTTCACATCTAACATTATAAAACCTACTTTAAAATTTTTAGATTTGCTTTTTCATTTGGCCAAAAAAAAATTCTTGAAAATCGGCTTTTTTTTAGCCAGTTACTCAGATGTCCCCCCTTAAGCTTTTGACTTTTCAAATTAGAACGTTTCAAGAAGGACCAGCCAGTGGTGAATAGTACTGGCGGTATCAAGAAAGTGTTCAAGAAGAAACTTGGACCAGTCTAACTGAAGAGTTAAGAGAGCAGTTTAGGCAAGAACGAATTTATGTTAGTATAAGAGCATCTAATGATGGTCACAAGCAGAAGACTGGAGAATTCTTTGATAAGTTCTATAAAAGCATTGTTAAATGAACTGCTAAGTAACAATTCCAAAATCCATCTGAATCCTTTCCGAGGGCGCCGGCTGGGCAATGGGCACTGTATTAACCCGGATACGGGTTATCGCTGCTTGCTCCGTCCGCAATAATACAGTTTCTAGCCATGGCTACGGTTCAATTCCTTCTGTCCAAAAAGCTGGTATTTCCGGATTGAGACGCAGCAGCTTCAGCGCCCGGTCCCCTTGGATTGCAATGGGGAAGAGTACCTTCGCCTTTGGAATGGATGGTATTAGCTCCCTGTCCATCACCTCCATCTTGGCCCGCTCCCACAGCGCCTCCATCTGGCAGACCGCTTGCGTCAGCCACTTTCTTGTCGGGTCATCCATGCACTTCTGGATTTTGACCCCATTTAGCCACCCAGCACCATCGAAAGTGGATATGGGAGCTTCGGGATCTTCCTCCATCCGTTCTACAGGGGGAAAAAACTAATGGTAAAAAAGATCTAGTGTTTCTTATCGGTACGTGAAAATTTAGCTGACCTAGCAAGCCAGCACTGTCCACGTCACCACGGATTAAGTTATATAAGAATGTAATAATTAGCATTTATTTATTTATTAAGAATAGCAAATATCTGCCATTATAAATCCATATCCTTACCTCAGACCGGATAAGGAGTGTTTTTTAATGATATGCTCTGACTCACATCAGGTGGTCAGAGGCAAGGATAGGTGTCTTAAGATATTGTTTTTCTTAAAGTCTAATGACATTTCAAAATATAACAAAAAGTACAGGTCGTTGTAAAGCGAACATAAAACGCAAAAAGGATCATGTGCTTAGAAATTAGTTTTACAAACTGAGAAACGTATTTGACTTAGAAGCTGACTGGAAAAAAATATGTCCATTTATTAGTTTATGAAGGAACATCACGCCGTGGCAGGTCCGACGATCCTTAAGAGAGGGCAGGTCCAAAAGGCGTAGTCTGTCAGCATAAAGAGGAAGGCGGCAATGTGGGTCCTAGTCTAAACCCCGAAGAGCGAACAAAAGGAATTGTTTCTGTACCAATTCGGTCCTGATACTTTGTGTATTGGGGGGACAATACAAACGAACAATATTCGAGTATGGGACAACCAGAGATATATATATAAAAGTTTTGTGGTGTATTCATCGAATTCCTTAGACCATCGTTTTACGAAAGCAAATAAAGCTGTACAGACATTTATACCGGTGTGATCGGTGAAGCTCAAATTATGGGTAAAAAGAACACCAAGATCCGTTACAGAATGGATACGTTCAAGAACACTCGTGCCTAAGAAATGGTTAGCATGGGAACAATTTCTTCAGTAAAACGACATGTATTTACATTTAGAGTTGTTAAGAAACAATAAATTGTGAGTGCACCAGGACAACATATTGTTTAAATCAGCTTGCAAAAGCTTAGAAGAGTCAGGATTCACAAGAGGCAAACATAGTTTAACATCATCAGCGTACATCATGACGTAAGTGGAGAATAACTTGGGGCAGATTATTTATAAAAATGTCAAATAGAAGAGGACCGAGGTGGCTCCCTTGAGGAAGTCACTCAAGGAGATTTGTAGACTTTGATCTGCGTTTCATAAAGCAATGCTGTGAGGGGGACATTATTCAGCTACATTGGTGCTGAAGCTGAGTAGTAATTAAAAATTCGAATAATTTGGGAATCGCACTAAGTTTTGCTATACCACTATAGTGTTCAATATTAGATTTACTTCCCTATTTATGAAGCGTGTGAGGAATCAACCGACTCCCCACAAATAAATATTAAAATAAATATAGCCAGTATATATTTAAGTATATATTTAAGCCAGACATACGATAGTTATTTTGTCATCACTCCCCGTATTCACATCACCAGCGACTATACGGACACACACACACCAGCGCAGCAAGAAGAAATTCACCACGAAAAGTGGTCACGTGACCGAGCGCCGCGTAGGAGCGAGCGAGAGTGCACACGATCGTGCAGACAAGCAATCTTCGAAAATTTGGCACGCGCACAAAAGAAAGAGCAAGAGAAAACCAAGGGGGCTTATAAGACACTTCTGGTGAGGGAAATGAAGGGAAATGTCGAAAACTGCGTACATTATATCATAGAAATGCTTAACGATGTCTGAGGGATGCTCTGTGGAGTTCAAGAAAGTCCAATTAGTTAAGGATAAGTGGTGGTTCATTAACTTAGCTTTTCGAAAGCAACGAAACGTTGCAGGCTCAGCTTCCGGACACAATAGTAATGGAGTGGAAGCTTCAAGGGTTAGCTCCAAAGTCGGATGATAAGCGTCTTTAGGACTAGAAAGAGGGTCAATTCTAGTGACGTAGTCATTGGAAAACTCAGAGACAAAGATGAGGTCTAAGACGTTATTACTGCAGTTCCTAACAAAATTTAATTGTCCCAATGAGTGGTCAATGAGACCATGAATTAAATCGTGGGGTGAGGTGGGAACAAGAACATTAGTATCAGGTAAGGGCATCCAAGAAATGGAGGGCAGATTGAAATCAGAAATCAGATTGAATTTCTTGAATTAAGGATAAATGCTGCATATATATACTGCGCGTCACCAGGTTAGCGCCCCCTGTTACTCTTCTCTTTGAATTCTCCTATCTCTTTTTGTAATGATCTTAAATTTGTAATTTGTTTTGCTTTATGTAGATAAAGGGTATCTCTCTCAATAAGAGTAAAATAAAATGTGAGATTAAGCGTTATATTTTTAATCTTACTATGTTCTATTTTAGCCGAAAAGGTCTGCACGTGTTTTGCGTCATCAGATTAGCGCCCTCCAAATAAAATGTTAAATATCTTTCTTAATTTGCTGAGCACTGCAACCATTTT